TTATTTTTATAATATTTTATTGAAATAATATAATTTTAAAATAAATTTTTTATTAATCTTTAAAAGATATGACAAATAAACATTAATTCCATAATTTATTATCACTTGAAAGTTGAAACAATTTTTTATTTGTCTTAGCATTACAGTTAGGGAGAGCATTATTTTTTTTTTTTGATACAATTAGGGAGAGCATTATGATTCTTATATGTATATGTACCAAAAGCCGCACATGCTTTGCACTATTTGGGATGTTAGAAAAATAGTATTAAAATAAAATAGGAAAAAAAAAAGAAGAAAGAATGAATTTTCGAACTTGGTATCTCACTAATTTTAAGATTTTAAAAAAATTTTAAGATACAATAAAACAACAAACTAAACCCTCTCAAAGCGTAGATATGATAAGTGAAAATTTTAAGTGTCCAAATGCTTTCCGAACGTCTCCTTATTTAATGGATGTATTCCTTACCATTTATAACTCAAGCACAAGACTTCTATTAGATTAACAATTTAATCCATGAATTCAAAATTTATACAAATAAAATTTCAGATTAGTTTAAAAACAATTTTTGTAATTTAAAATGTTGAATGTCAAATAAAATTCCTAAAATTATAGAAATATATAGGTAAAAGAAAAATCTAAAATCTTTATTTTTGTCAAATAATTTGTTGTACCTATGATTTTGATGATTACAAAACACATTTGAATGATTAATTGGTTTATTTAAGTGTATAGTTAAGTTGCTAAAAGATTGCAAGTAAACTTGGATTGCACTAAAAATAGACCAAAAGGATTCAAAATGGCAAAGAGCCAGCTCTAGTGAAATGGAAGTTCAGAGAGCCGACTTTGGAAGCTGCAGCCGCCTCTACAGGCAAAAATTTAAAGACCGTTGCTTGGTGTGCGTGAAGAAAAGATGCAAAGCTGGCTCTAAATTTGTAGCCGGCTATGAGAGCGCATTTAATGCACAACAGTCGACTCATTTGAAGATTATTTAATGTATTTAAAGTCGGAGTTCCAAAGCCGGCTCAAAGTTTTGTAGCCGACTCTCAAGGAAAACAGAATGGGCTACAAACCCAGATAGCCGAGTCTGGAAGTGTAAGCCTGCTCTGCAGAGCTGGCTCGAGAAAGCTAAGTCGGCTCTCCTGACAAACTTGCAGCTCGAGTTTTGCGTCCTGCAGAGCATTTAATGACCTCCAACGGCTAGTAACAGCTATTTTCGAGTAAAGGGGTATAAATATGGGTGGTAACAGATCTGAAGAGGTTAAGAGTGTATTGTATTGAATATCTTTAGCTACCTACATGAGTTTTAACTTGAGTTTTTGATCTTTGAGAGATTTTTGTTTGTAATCCTCTTCTTGTGCTATTAGTGAGTGATCTTGGGGGTGTGTTGATTCCTTCAAGAGTGATCTGTAGAAAGGATCTTGGGGGTTTAAGTGTAAAGGGGTGAGATTTGAGAGAAACCCTTCTTCTTGTAAAGGATTGAGTGGCTTCTTTAAGCCACCATTGTTTTTCCTAGTGGAGAGTGTGGAAGAAATCCTTGGTGAGTGAAGCCAAGGTAGAGGACTAGGCTCCAAGTGGTTGGACCGGGCTCCAAGTGGTTGGATCGAACCTCTATAAAATCATTGTGCAAGCTCTTCTTCTCAACTCTCTCTTTAATTTTTGTTTGGTGGTTGCAAAGAGGCGAAAATTCTCCAACTCCAATTCACCCCCCCTCTTGGAGTGCATTAAGTCAACATAATTACCCTAAACATTTGTAAAAGTAAGCACTTTGGTCCTTCCGCCCACCTCCATCACGTTTCAATATTTTTTACGTCATTAACAAATAAAGTATATTATTTTTTTCGATGTTAGTTGCATAACGAGAGGTAATTCTCTCCTATCTATTATCTCATTCCACCCGCATGCCATGCAACTTGAATTCAGGACTTCTTATTTCTAACGAAAAGAAATTACAATTGAACTATTTAAGTCGTTGGTAAATAAAATATATTATTAAAAAACAAATTTCTTTATTTAACTAATACAACCCTACCCGGAACTGCAACTCCTTTGATGAAGCAAATAAAGATTCAAATAATTCAGCTTTTGATGTTGATTATCTTGGTTCATGATATCCAAGTTGTTGCTGATAAATTCATGTGGGTAATAAAGTAAGTGGAAACAAAAGTCTTGCTTTGAGCATGTCAAAATTATGTGATAATTCAATCCCACTTATCTTCAACATAAGCTTCTAACACACATTCAATCTCAAAAAGCCAATACCTTTGTTGGCCTTCATAGCTAATACCAAAAAATTCACAATCACAATGAACAATTACAACATAGAGGTCAAATAAAACATAAGACATAATGAACTTAAAAGATCAATTATGTTGAAATACGAAAAATGTGTATGCATAAAAAAAGTAACAATAATAATTAAATCAAAATCCAGCAAACAAATTATAAGAGGAAAATATTGAATTTGAGACATTTTAGTTTGCTTATTCTACTTATTTGTCTTCTTACATCCCAACAATAAAAAACAAATATGCCCTAATTAATGTCCCAATTCCAATCGCTAGCTTCCCCTTACATCTAAGATGAATGCCACAGATACTGTTTCCCTGTATTTGTCAAAAAAAAAAGGGGCTGTGGGGATATATCTCCCATGTACAAACGTTACACTCATAATGATCTCTCTCGTCTATGGAAATATC